CCATGGCGAGGCGGGAGCAGAGGAGGCTGCTGAGGAGCGGGCCCGCCGGAGCAGCCCAGCACGTTCTCCGCCGGAGCAGCGCGGGCTGTGCAGTTCAAAGAACCACAAAACTGCTCAGCTGAGGTAGCAAATTCTTACTGTCTTTCAGAGTTCTTACTATCTCGAAAAATGTTGCCGTTATGAACCATTCTTTATACATACACTGACATTATTAAGAATTTTCTCATGCTACATCTCAAGCAAAGAATTTTTTTCCTTTTTTGTCTTAATGCCTCCTGTAATTTTCACTCACGTTTGTGACTGTATGCATAAAAGCCTAAGGATACACCAGGGGCAACATGCCTTGTTTCTGTCCAGTTGACCCCAGCATCTCCATCCTTCATCCCCCTACTCCAGTATCTCATCTCAGTCTGTTGTGGTTAGTAGTTAATTCAGAGTAAGCTCAATATGAATTAAAACATTGTTCTGCTCTGGGGAATGAGCTTTGCACTTTTGGCACTGTGGCATGGGGTAGTGCTGGCCTCTGAGTGCTATTTCCGACCCTCGTCCCCTGAAGTGACCCCCTCTTAAGTGCTGTTATTTTTGGCACCTGCATTACTGAGAAGGGGGTGGGATGTCATGCAGTGTGACACGTGAGCACTGACCTGACCCATCCTATGTGTCCATGTTTCTGTTGCTCTTCAAGAGCAAAATCTTTAAGGTTCCCTAGGAGGGTCAAAGCTGCTTAGAAATTGTTAAGGATCTTTACCCATGAATCTTCAGAAACACAGGCCTTTGTGCTCCTAAAATAGTACTGACTGACCTTGGTTTGTCCTGTCCAGCCATTTCTTGTTACGCAGCAAGAGATTTAAGTGTTTGTCTAAGGACAGGAGTGTGTAAGGGATAAAAGGTAATTGGTCCATGGATAGAACACTAGGTAAAGAGAATGGAAAATTATTGTAAAGCTGTCTGGTGGGAACGTGGCCTTGGAGATGGGGGAGTAAGTCCATGGACCTGCTGACTGCAAAGGGATTGCACAAACTGGAGATACCTGCTCGTGTGCTGGCCACGCGGGAGTCGGTGCCGCAGCCAGGACTGTTCCATCCACTGTCAGAGGGGCTAAGGGCGTGGGGTTGAGCCAACAGGGCAGAAGGGTCGGAGCTCACCTTGGCTTGCAGGGCAGGCCCTGAAGGTGCTGTGCCCACCGCCCCTCGGCCTGGGCAGCCGCTCATCTCCTGCCCAGCAGCACTCCTCTCCTGCTGGGGTCGGCACCCGGGCAACCGCTGCGGTCGGGTTTGCACTTTTGTATTGCTGACTTTTCATGCCATGCAGAGCAGTCCCTAGGACTTAAGAGAGGAGCAAGACACCTGATGGTGATGTTTCCCTCCTTGCACCTTGGGAATCCTCACAAACCTGAGACATAACTGTCGGCGAGGGCGGGATTCCCGGGGTGCAGGGTAGTAGAAGGCAGTTGTGTAGTGGACAGGGCTGGGTCAGTGGAGGGCGTAGCTGCAGCAGGAGCATGAATGTGCTGTGCCCGGGCGTGAGGCTCTCCCCGGGATTTTGTGTCAGACCCAGGATGGCCGTTGGAGTGTTTTATTCTTGTTTCTGCGTGTTGTATGTGGTGTAGGGACCCCCTCGTTACCATCAGATATTTGGTTATGAAGGACGCTCTCGCTCCTGTGGGTTGGGTGTGCAGTGTGACCTGTGTGTGTGCTGCAGTCCTCCCTGTGCCCCGTCCTGCTTTACCCAAACCTGAAGCCCCGTGTGTGACCCAGGATGGCCGTTGGAGTGTTTTATTCTTGTTTCTGCGTGTTGTATGTGGTGTAGGGACCCCCTCGTTACCATCAGATATTTGGTTATGAAGGACGCTCTCGCTCCTGTGGGTTGGGTGTGCAGTGTGACCTGTGTGTGTGCTGCAGTCCTCCCTGTGCCCCGTCCTGCTTTACCCAAACCTGAAGCCCCGTGTGTGAGTGGCGCCAGGTGCAGCCCCGGTCCGTGGTGCCTGAGCAGCAGGACACATTTGCTCCTGTTCTGATGGGACAAAACGTTCGAGAAGAAGGAACCGCGTCCTGCGGCCCCGCCAGTAGGAGGGGCAGGGTGGAGCACCAGGCCCTGGAGCACACGCTGGGACAAGGTGGAGACTTGTACCAGTGTCGGTCCTGAGCCACGGGCGGACAAAGATCCTGTGGAAGTATTGACATTGGGGTGAGTTTACTCAGACACCCCATACCTGCTCCGAGGAGTGCTTCAGTCATGCAGGAGAATGGCTGCCTGCCTGCTGTTCACATAGAAGGTGTTGGTGGAAAAAAACCCCAAGAATGGCAGCAGAAATATGAGGCTGTAGTGAAGGAAAATGATAAATTGCAGGCAGAGATGTTGTGCCAGAGGCAGGCACAAAAAGGGGAACGGTGGGGAAGGAAACGGGCAGCTCTGGCAGTGAAATAGGCCATTTGGGTTGTGAAGTGCTGAGGAAGAGAGCAAAAGGGGAAATCCCTGGGACTGCAGGCTCGAGTGGTAGTGACAAGCCCAGGCTGGGACCCGGAGACATGGGGTGGAAATATCTGGAGCACGAGCAGTGAACCTGAAGGAAAAGACCCTGCCTTGATTGATCTCCCCGGGGTTTGGGTGGCTCCTGTGTTTAAGTGAAAAATGGTAACTAGTAACAGGGTTTCAGTGCAGTCAGATGAACTCATGGATTACACTCCTGAGGAAATGAAGAATCTCCTGGAAAAGTATCAACAGCATCCAGGGGAAGAGCCCCAGTTACAGCCAGTGTGGTTAATGGGGGCAGGGGGAGACGCTGCAGGGGTAGGTGGGCTCGGTGCAGGGAAATTCCTGGGTCTAACCTGGGATCAGTGTGTTCAGCCTGCTCCACGCCGGGTGCCAGAGGGCAAAACTGTTCTCTAGTGTCAGTGGCTGTTG